TGATTCTGTGATTCTATGATTCTATGTGTCATAACGCAACAAAAACCATAAATGGTAAAGCAGTATTCTAAACAGTCCAAATCATCTTAAGGGTAATGAGGAAAGTAGTGAACAGAAAGAAGAGGAAAGCAGAAATGGGATAACAGATACCCAACTTTTGAATACCCTCCTAGTCTGTTTCAGAAAAGGATTGTTATTTTAAGACTACATGAAAATGATTACTCATATGCTTTAAGGTGAGCATGCGGATGCTTCCAGGACTTGATAATTAAGTGATGGAATAGACAGATAAATAAAGATATACTGTACTGTAAGATGAGAAAGAACTAAGAAAAACTCTGGTTGCAGAAGTGATTTTGCTATTATGCAACTTAGACATAGGCACAGGTTTCACAGTTACTCAAAAATACATTGGTATTTCTGCAAAGCTTCTCTTTGCATTATTTTATTCCAAGATACACAAAGAAGCAATAAGATATTTAACCTTCATAAAACTTCCAAACAGCTACCTGGTTGGTGGTAAGCCCTGGTCTGCAATATTTTTTGCTAGAGCTCCACATCCACAGGAAGAGATGCAATAGGAATCATTAAGCATTGAAGCTGTTGGCACAATATATGCAGCACATTATGAGCAGAGTTATCTTTCACAAGGAAGAGGATAAGTAAATGAAGTTTAACATATACTCTTGTTTTGTTTTACAGCCATTACTTGTACTGGCAATCAAACATTCAGCTACAACACTCAGGCATGTGACAGGACATGCTTGTCACTCTCCAACCGAGCCCTGGAATGTCATCCAACTGACATTCCTATTGAAGGCTGCCATTGTCCTAAAGGAATGTACTTGAACCACAAGAATGAGTGTGTTCATAAATCTCATTGTCCCTGCTATTTAGAAGATAGAAAGTACATCTTGCCTGACCAGTCAACAATAACTGGTGGGATTACCTGGTAAGCGTGTCAAGTGTAAAGATTAACAAACTGAGAATGGAGACAAGGTGTCTTCATGTGTCTCTGTTGAGGGTTAACGGCAGTAAGCAGCTAAGCACCACTCAGCCGCTTGCTCCCTCCACTTCAGCTGGATGCAGACAAGAATCAGAAGGGCAAAAGCAAGAAAATTTGTGGGTTGAGATAAAGACAGTTTAATAACTTTCTTTATTATTAATAAGCAAAAATAAGCTTACTTAATAAGCAAAGTGGCATGCGCAATCGAAGCTAAGAAAGGAATTAATTCACTACTTCCCATCAGCAGGCAAATGTTTAGACATTTCCAGGAAAGCATGACTTTGTCATGCATAATGGTTACTTGGGAAGACAAGCACCATAACTCCAAACATCCCTCCTTCTTCCTCCTTTACCTGAGCTTTTATTGCTGAGCATGATGTTGTATAGTATGGAATATCTCTCTGGTCAGTTCAGGTCAGCTGTCCTGGCTGCGTCCCCTTCCAGTTTCTTGTGCACCCCCAGCTGACTTGCTGGCGGGGCAGCGTGAGAAGCAGAAACGGCCTTGACACTGTTCAGCAGTAGCTAAAACAACATCGTGTTATCAACACTGTTTTGGTTCACAAATCCAAAACTTAGCACCATCAAGCTGCTACGAAGAAAATTAACACCATTCCAGCCAAAACCAGTACAGTCTCTTTCACTTTTAATAGCAAAGGTTTATTTTTTAAGACATCTTTTTTGCCCTTTCCTAAAATACAAAGATTCTTAAACGAAAAAGCATTTGACTTACCTTAAGCTTAGAAATACTAGGGAAAAAATCAGAAAATAATAGGTAAGATCTGATTATTCCTAGTAGGAGATTTTGTCAACAGCATCTGGACAGCTATATACAAACCTCAAGAATTACTTGATAGGCCATCATAGTAGTGAATGGCTTACTATTCACTTTCAAAACTGATGTTACTGTATAATACAAAAAGTAAATAGAGGCAAGTTGACTCACGTTCCATTTTGAAGGATGGGGAGGAGTTAGTAACATAAATGAAACATTTCTAATAGTGAGAAACATGAAGCCATTTTGTAAAAAATTAAAATTTCTTTCTTAGGAGAGAATTTCATTGACATTCCTTTTTTTTTCCCCCCCTAGCTACTGCATTAATGGGAGGCTAAGTTGCACAGGCAAACCTCAAAATCCTGCAGGTATGGGTCTGATACGGTTTACTTAGAAACATATTCTTTTCCCCTATGTTGTAAAATTGCTGCTTCACAGTCTCTCCAATGTTTGTTTTTCTTCCTTTTTCCTAGAAAGCTGCAAAGCTCCTAAGAAATATGTATCATGTTCTGACAGTTTAGAAAACAAGTATGGAGCTGCATGTGCCCCTACTTGTCAGATGCTGGCTACTGGAATTGAATGTGTGAGTTTCACAGCTCTGGGATATTTATCCTCTTGAGAGAGGAAGAATGTTCTAGTTGTTACTTAGAACTTGACTACATTCCTTCTAGTGAAATGAAAGGAGATATTTCTTCTAACATGATACAGTTAAACATCAGACTTCTTTCCACAGACTGTGGACACTAAAAATTTACATATATTCAAGAAGTGATTAAAGGAATTAAATTGCATGAATTAATGAATTAAATTCTATTAAATTAATAGAATAAAAATCCATTAAGAATTCTTAACTACGTGGTTATCACCTGTGGCTCAGGTACTCCATAAGCTGCATGGCATTGGAAACTGATAGAACATGTGGTTTATGCTTCTGGTTCTATTCTTTCTCACCTATCTTCTGCAGATGGTCACGGGATGCAGGAGACCTAGGCTAGGTGGACTTCTGGTCTGTCCTGATAGGTTTTTCTTATGCCTTTATATTAAGGAAACAGACGAATTGGAAGAATTTTAATAAGCTTCCTTGATATAAAGAAACTTCTGTTGTACTCTGTCTGAAAGATTGATAGCAATGAAAGATAAATTTTTCAGAGTCTTCAGGTATGTTTGATATCTCACACAACAGGTATATCTTACAATTTCAGTGAACCTAGTTCAATTGACTAGTATATTAGTACAAGGAAGATCATAAAACTGAAAACAAGTCAAAACTAGAAGTTAGCACAGGTTCACTCTTGACACCATTCACATACAAGATAAAATGCATCTCACGTTTCTTTTCATTTCGCAATCTGTTGTTCCTTACCAGATACCCACTAAATGTGAATCAGGCTGTGTCTGTGCTGATGGGCTATATGAAAATCTCGATGGCAGGTGTGTTCCAGCTGATGAATGTCCATGTGAATACGGTGGTCTTGCTTATGGAAAAGGTGAACAGATCCAAACCGAATGCGAGATCTGGTAAGAATCACACAGTTTTCCATTGCAGAACCTCTGTCTTACTGAACTGTACAACTACATAACAAAAGCGTTTAGTTGACAGGAGAGTAGGAAATGGCAACAGCTGAATGGAAGTGACAAAGCACAGAGGTGATAAAGAAAAGCTTAACATTTGACTATATATGTATAGATAAAACAGTCATGGTACTGGCTCCAGGCATAATTTCTGCCATATGCATATCCAGGAATAAGGGCATCCAGTAGGGCCTGTAACTGTAGACTGCATAAGGTCAAGGATTAATAACTCCACCTAAATAAAGGTGAGGGCACAATCTTCCTTCTTTTCTGTAGATAAAAGCAACCCCCCCCAAAAGATTGTTTCCATCTCCTTAGCAGCATTCTCAAAGTACTTTACTCCCTTTCCAGTTACTAATCTATTATTAAAAAACCACCACCACCCAAACTACACAGAACAGTGACATCTGTTCTCATTAAGAGCAAAAATAAATGAGTTTTATATTCTTTCTTTCATGAAAAAAAAAAAAGCAAAAATTACTTAAGATTTTTTCTTTATTATGAATTAATTTTCTAGGCAGTCTATAACTTTTAGTTGTAGTTCTTATATTAATTGTAGATGGTCACAGTGTACACAAGTCAATTAAATGAACATCTTATCTATAAAAGTGCATGCATATGAAAAGAAGCAGGTTAAGGTGGCATTTCTTTGAAATCTGAGTATGGTTTCTCTTCTCACTCGCAGCACTTGCACAAAAGGCAAATGGAAATGTGTTCAGAAATCAAAGTGTTCCTCAACATGCAATCTGTATGGAGAAGGCCACATCACCACTTTTGACGGACAGCGTTTTGTGTTTGATGGCAACTGTGAATACATATTAGCTATGGTAATCTGCCTCTTACTGCTTATTTTGGCAGTATCTTAGCATCAAGAAACAGCTTGATTTAAATAGCTAATGAAAATATCCTAGGATGCATCTATAACCAATAGAGCACTTTGAATCTTTATAAATACTTAATGTATTTTTATATTTTCTGCTTATTTCAATACCCAAGATGAAAAGACTTTACTTCTCAAAACACAGTTTTTTCATGCAATTGCAACCAATTTTAGATTTAATAACATGTTTAAATAGTCATTGATACGTATGTATTCTGTACCAGCCAACTTCTTTTAGGGAAGTGATGTCAGTTTGACTACCAAATCAGAGGTGATTACCTCCCAAAACAGGCAGAATCAGAGTTATGACATGTTTAAGCTTTCTTTACTTCTTCATGCTTTTACGTTTTAAGTTGGAAGACTCCATACACAGAGTCTATTGTGGTTTTGTGCTTTTTGTGGTTTGTTTTGGTTTTTTTAGGATGGCTGCAGTGTTAATAGACCTGTTTCCTCTTTCAAAATTGTTACTGAGAATGTCATCTGTGGGAAATCAGGGGTTACATGCTCCAGATCCATCAGCATTTACCTTGGGGTAAGATCTTCACTCTGTTGTTACCCAGTTGAATAGCTATATTAAGCCCATATTTGCTTCCCTTTTGGAAGCTTTGTCTGTGTCTTTGAAGTGATGTCTTGTAAGTGAAATTGTGTGCTAAAACTAGAGCTTCAGTTATAGTAGGAATTGCCATCAGGTTTTTTCAATTCTCATGTCAATGTTTCAGTCCCCAAACTTCTTGCCTACCTAGAAGCCATAAAATTTTGAACTTTACTGACTCAGCAGTGAATTGCTCGGTCAAAAGATACTGATTTCCCACCTCCTGCCCCCGCCAAACTCAGGAAAACAATAGTATAAAATTGAGGAATTCTCATCATGGATGATGAGCAAAATCTCTCCAAATTTCTGTAAGTCCAGGTAATATCTGCAATTCAAAATATATCCAGATCTTACCTGAGATATATCCGTGAATCTACTGCAATGCGCAGTTATCCTCATTTCCACTGCTGTGTGACAGCTTCCAGAATTGGGTAAGTTTTACTGTTCTCAGTTCTATGGGACAGTAATGCCCAGTGGTATCAGATCATCTTAGAGTCCTTCATTATCTGACAGAGAGCAGAATATGGACAGATGAAATTTTATCCAAAGGAAGAGTCACTACAAGCAGTACACATTTGCCACATTACTGACTAAATACCGGCAGTTTCAGCTCGTTACTACTGTGGTGAAAAAATTTGTTTACTTAGGATCCAGTTTCATAAATGCATGCTCCAGCCAAATCTTTCTGTTCATTATCTAGACACTGAAACACTGTAGTATGGCAGGAGTAAAGTTGTAAGAGTACACATGAGACTGGGAGATAGTAAAAGAGCTCAAGACAGAGAGCTATTTTCTCTGTAACTTTTTGATTATTCTTAGGAATACATGAAAACATACTTCCTCTACTCTGCTGGCTGCATGTAGATGATGATATTATTTCCACCAAATGCAGTCAGAGTGCTAGCACACCTAACAGTGAGGGTTGAACAATGACAAATATTTTTGCTTCCCATGAAGATTTGCATATCCATACAAAATAATTCGAAGAGGGTAAAAAAGCCTGTAAAATAGAATCATAGAATAGAACAGAATCATAAAATGGTTTGGGTTGGAAGGGACCATCCAGTCCAATCCCCCTGCACTGAGCAGGGACATCTTCAACTAAATCAGGTTGCTCAAAGCGCCATTCAGCCTGACCTTGAATGTCTCCAGGGATGGGGCATCTACCACCTCTCTGGGCAACTTGTGCCAGTGTTTCACCACCCTCATTGTAAAAGATTTCTTCCTTATATCTAG